AAGGAAGCAGACCCTAGCTAAAATGAACAGAATGCTAGCTAACAGAAACAAAACATGAGCTAAAATGAATTGATCCTAGCTAAAATGAACAAAATGCTAGCTAAATTGAACAAAACACTAGCTAAATGGAGAAAAATACTAGTTAAAAGTAGCAGAGCATTAACAGGAACAGCACAGTAGCTAAAAGAAGCAGAATGGTAGCTAAAAAACTAAAGTAGCAAAACAGTAGCTAATAGCTAAAAGTAGCAGAACGGTTGTGCATGTACAGTTCTGGAGTTAACCTGGTCCAAGATGGCCACCACAGCTAATCACCAACAGCCAACACAAAATGACTCTGTCAACTCATACAAACACTGAGCTAAAATTTAGCTCGTTGGCAGCTGAGAGTCGTTCACGCAGCCGAATGTATTGTGGTTGTTAGTTTTGTTGTTTACTCCTGATGGGACGTTAAAAGCTCCGGGTCTATAAATCATCTCCATGTCCCCCCCCCCAGATGTGTGTCCTCTCCCGTCAGGTGACCTCCGTCAGTCAGGAGCTGCAGGAAATGACGCGCCTCCTCAAGCCTCTCTTCCACAACTCCTCGCTGCTGATCCCCTGCACTGTGACTCCGCCCCCCAGCGTGTCCCCGCCTCTCCAGACCCAACGAGCAGACGTTCCAAACCCTCCACCCGTCCCGGTTCTGGACCTGCGCCCCCCTCAGCTGAGCGAGTCTCTTCATGGCTCCCCACCTCCTCCTCCTGGAGCCTCCCATCAGCTCAGTCCTCCTCCCTCCCACCGTTCAGCTCCTCCTTCGCTCCACAGCTCTCCTCACGATCGCTCCCATCCCTGTCCTGCCTCCTCCAGCCCCCCCTCGTTCATCACTCCCCTCCTGTTGGACTTCTCAGAACCAGAGTCCCAGCTCCAGGTCCCGTCTTACCCCCGGCCTCTCCTCCGACCCTCAGGCGGGGCCTCGGTCCTGACCCTGCGGGACACCGAGTGGCAGGACAGCAGCTCCCAGATCAGCTTCGTGGACGAAGGACGGCCGTCGGTGTGAGCAGATCTGGACTCGGGACTGTCAGAGGACCAGCATGCCCCCCCCCACAGCTGCATGACGAACGTTGGCCCGAAGCTTTGAGGGCAGAACCGTGTAAATATTTTGTTTTTCAACTGTTACCACGAGCACCGAGAATAAACGTCTAACATCTTCGTTTGAAATGTTTCCAAGCTGCCATGCGAGGACGGAGCACAGGGGGGTCAGGTCTCACCAAAGGTTTGGGGTTTCTAAGGTTTAAGGGATTTAAAAGTTTTATGGAGACCATTTGTAGGTAAAGTTGAACTAAAAGCAAATCCTTTAAAAACTAGAGATGATGCATGGAGGTGTGGACCAGAACCCAAGACCCATAGTCCTGGTTCCTGTTGGACTCGCAGGCCTCAGAGTGAGGAGACGCCTCCTGGACGTCCAGAAACAAACATGATGCTGAAGAAAGCTGCAGGTCGACACAAAGAGCTCAGATTAAAGTTCTCTAGACTCCAGTGTTTGAAACTTCAGAGCATCACTGCCCCCTGGTGGCCACTTCTGTTCACTGCACCTTTTTTTTTTTGACGACCAGTTTGTTGGATTCAACAGATCCTAAATATTTATTGATCGTTTTTATTATTGTTTGTGCTGTAATTCACAGTAAAAGTGAGGATTTATAACTTTACAAATGAAATATCTTGTGTGAAAAACTTCTTTAAAACGTCTTCAGTTGATCCAAAATGCTGCTGCCAGAGTCTTAACTGGAGTTACTGGGAGAGATCATATCTCTCCAGTTTTAGCTTCTCTCCATTGGCTCCCTGTCAAATCCAGAACTGAATTCAAAATCTTACTTCTAACCTACAAAGCTCTCAACAACCTAGCTCCATCTTATATTACAGATCTTATTGTTCCATATTTTACTAACAGAGCACTTCACTCTCAGACTGCAGGTTTACTTGTGGTTCCTAGAGTTTCCAGCAGCAGAATGGGAGGAAGATCTTTCAGTTCTCAGGCTCCTCTCTTGTGGAACCAACTTCCAGTTTCTGTCTGTGAGGCTGACACATTGTCCAGTTTGAAGACTTTCCTTTTTGATAAATCCTATAGTTAGGGTCGGCTTGGGTTTCCTGAGCTGTCCCTTAGTTCTGCTGCTATAGGGTTAGACTGGTGGAGGACAAACTGACCACATGTCCTCTCTCTGCTGCTGTTTTTATTTGCTCTAATCTACCTGTTTGTAATTATTTCTATCCTTAATGTGTGCTTTTAGTTTTCTGTTCCTATGAACTAAACCTGCACCATAGGAACCACACCTGGATCATATAAACCACACCTGAACCATAGGAACAACACCTGCACCATAGGAACTACACCTAGAGCATAGGAACTAAACCTGTACAATAGGAAATACACCTGGACCATAGGAACTACAACTTGACCATAGGAAGTACACCTGGACCATAGGAACAACACCTGCACCATAGGAACTACACCTAGAGCATAGGAACTAAACCTAGAGCATAGGAACTAAACCTGTACAATAGGAAATACACCTGGACCATAGGAAATACAACTTGACCATAGGAAGTACACCTGCACCATAGGAACTACACCTGCACTGTAGGAACCACACCTGGACGATAGGAACCACACCAAGATCATATAAACCACACCTGGAACTACGGAGCCAAACCTGGACCAGTCGTTCAGTGTTAGTCTCTCCTGGCCAGTCCTCCTCAGATATTCAAGGGTTTTATCATCTTTTTAAATATGACTCCATCAGAGCTGGTCTCTGCTGGTCTCTGCTGGTCTCCGCTGGTTTCCGCTGGTTTCTGCAGGTCTCCGCTGGTCTCCGCTGGTCTCCGCTGGTCTCTGCTGGTCTCTGCTGGTCTCCGCTGGTCTCCGCTGGTCTCCGCTGGTCTCCGCTGGTCTCCGCTGGTCTCCGCTGGTCTCTGCTGGTCTCCGCTGGTCTCCGCTGGTTTCTGCTGGTTTCTGCAGGTTTCTGCAGGTCTCTGCTGGTCTCTGCTGGTCTCTGCTGGTCTCTGTTGGTTTCTGCTGGTCTCCGCTGGTCTCTGCTGGTCTCTGCAGGTCTTCCTTCACAGAAATTTACCTTTGAGTTGGTTTCTTCTTTGTTCCGGCAGAGACCTCCTCCACCGACACGACCCGTTGTCGTGAGCAGCAGATCCAGACGTTGACCCAGTGGATCTGCTGCTCATGTTTTCCAGAACCGTCCGAGGGATGATGCTGCAGAAAGACGTCCACCGCTGACCGGCCCTCCAGATACGCCTTTGAATTTGTCTGCAGAGAGACCAACTTGGAAGACTTTGACAAAGTACAAAAATAAACCAACTCCTTTACTTGTGCACGTCTTTAAAACCAGTAAAACCAGTTGAACAGCAGGAAGCACAAAGTTCTGGTTCAGTCTGACCGTTTGATCAGCTGACAGACGTTCAGCACGGATCGACTCCACAAATAAAAAACACTAAAACCTGCAAATACAACAGATACTAAGAACAAAAGGTTTGTTAAAGGTGTGAATTAACTGTCAGTACCTCTCAGCGCCACCAGGGGTCGGAGTCTCCACACTTTTAATCTTTCAGCTTTTTTTTTTTCCTGCAGTAATTCAAGTTCTGGTGACCCGAATCCTCTCCCTGCAGTTCTGACCCGTCAGGTGGCTCCGAGGAAACGACCCCTGTGAACAAACCTTGTTCTGGATTCACCACCACCAAACTGTTTTTAGTAAAAGCAGCTTTTCTTCGGCTGCTCGGAGCTGAACGAGGAACAATAAAGAGTTTTGAACTGAACAGAAATTTATTTTCTGGTTTTCAGCTTAAAAACTCTCATTTGAGGATTGTAGCAGTTTAAAGTCTTTGATCTTTAGAGACATTTTGTTCCGATTTATTGAATTAAATCAATCGATTAAAAAAAATCCACGTCTTGAATATTATGACGTAAATATTTTTAGCCTTTTTTAGAGTTTATTAAACAGTGAAGTAAAAAATATATGTTCTGTGAAATGAAGCAGTAAAATATCAAAGTTAAACAAAACTACGAGCAGCAGAACAGCAGCTAAAAAGTGCAGAATTGTAGCTAAACTTAGCACAACAAATGTGAAAGATAAAATTTAGTAACCAAAATAAATTAAGTAGCTAAACTAGAGCTAAAAACTAGCAAATGGCATAATGATAGCTAAAATATTAAATTTTAGGTAAATCTAAAAGGGAATAACAAGAGCTAAAGTTAGCAGAATCAACGATAAAGCTAAGATGAGCACATCAGCTAAAATCTAAAAAGCAAAATAGAAGATAAAAGAAGCTAACGCATAACAATAGCTAAAAACTAAAAGTAGCTTAAACTTTAGTTAAAAACTCAAATGTAGCTAAAATCTAGAAGTAGCAAACTGGTAAGTAAACGCCTAAAATTTAATAAGAGTGGCTAAAAGCTTAGCTATAATTAGCACAACGATGCTAAAAATAAAAGTAGCTAAACTGATGATAAAGCTAAAATCATAACAGTAGCAAATAAAAACTAAAAAGTTTTAGATAAAAGATAAATCAAACTAAACAGTAGCTAAAAGTAGCAACACTGTACTTAAAAGCTAAATAACAGAGCAGTAGCTAAACACTAAAAGTAGCTATAGCTTAAAGCTAATATGTAGCAGGACATAAGCTAAAAATTAAACATGACAGAAGTTAAAAAAAGCTAAAAGTAAAACACAAAAACAGATCAAGTTTATCTCAAAGTGTTTCTGTGGAAATTTAATTTTAAATACATAAAAAATGTGAACAATAAAAATCTTCTGTGAGATATTAATTTACAAATAACTTATTTAATTTAATTTAGAATCTTTTTAAAGGTTTCCATGATCTGAGAAAATATTTGCTGTAAAATTCAGCATTTATTAATTAATTACAAATATTAAACACAACAGTTCCAAATCTAAATCAAATATCAGCTGAACCTTTATGGTTTATACATTTTAACAGCAATAATCCTCATTTTATTGAGAAAAATAAATAAATAAATAAATAATTAAACCAAAAAAAAGTGAAACAAAGAGTAAAAAAAATAAAAAGTTTAATTATTAAAAATTTGTTGAGATTATGGTTGTAACAGATAAAATATCAGATTATTTCTATGAACTGAGAGATTTAAAGGAGCAGCTGAAATCTTTTGAAGTGGGGTTCTGTGGAAACACTAAAAATAGTTAATGTCTTACCTGTTGTGTATAAAAGCTTTGAAACGCTTCAGTTCTTAAAACTTCAGTTTGTAAAAATTTTATTTAACTCAGACTGGACTGCCAGCTAAATGCTAATCCAAGCTAGAGGCTTGTTTGTCTAAAATTCTGGAAGAAATAATCCAAAATAAAATGAAATTCAAGTTAAAATCTAGTTCAAACCACACGGCTAGTCTGAACGAAAAAATTGTCTGCACTTAAGGCTAGTTTGAGCTAAAGGCTAGTCCAGACTGAAGGCTAGTTTAAGCTAAAGGCTAGTCCAGACTGAAGGCTAGTTTGAGCTAAAGGCTAGTCCAGACTGAAGGCTAATTTGAGCTAAAGGCTAGTCCAGACTGAAGGCTAGTTTGAGCTAAAGGCTAGTCCAGACTGAAGGCTAATTTGAGCTAAAGGCTAGTCCAGACTGTAGGTTAGTTTGAGCTAAAGGCTAGTCCAGACTGAAGGCTAGTTTGAGCTAAAGG